GATGACAGATACTTGATGATAGGAAGCAATGGTGGAAAGTTCGAAATGCAAGTGGAGACTGTGGATTTGTGCCAAATAACATTTTGGATATTGTGAGACCTCCAGAATCTGGATTAGGGCGTGCTGATCCACCTTATACACATACCATACAGGTAATTGTGATTTCTTAGCAAAACTTCGCATTTATAAATTTTCAAATTCATCACTCTTAAACAGGAGTTTAAATACCTTTTGTGTATTAATCATTGTGAGATTTAATTGTACATTTTTTTCTAGAATAATTGGGGGACAATGGTGAGAGACATAGGGAAGAATTACACGTATTTTCTGATTTACTTCTTCATGAAATTATTCAAAAGTTTAGCAGTAAAATGACTGTTTCTCTGAATGCTTTTTTGCCCAGTCTATACTATTTGTGACATTTGGAGAAGTAGTATTTCTGTCTTTTTACCCATAGCACTCCTATCCACCAGTGGGTTCCTCTTGACAGAGGTGGCACTGAGACAGTGACTGAAGTGTCCAGCAGTTCGTTCACCTTCACCAGCCTTTGCCTTCAGAATCTCTTAAATGGTCTTCCCTGACCAGCCTTGAACTTGCCTATGTCCTCACCTTACACTGATACACGAGCATTTGTTTAGTTGGATTGTAATTTTTTTCCACCTCTCTATTTTAAAGTTAAAATGTACTTAGGATATAGACTTGATAGGTCAGGCTTTGTCTTCTTGATCATTGTATAATTCTTGAGGCCTGTGTCACATTTTTAGGATTTCAGTGACTCTGGTCATCTCATTTACCCTGACCTCTGAATTCACATGCTGTTAAACTCTTGGGATTTTAGACCTGTGGCATGCTCTCCAGAATCAGATCTGCCAATAGAGATAGAATGAGTGGGCTCTCCCATGTACAGCCTCTCAACCTGGGATGGCTTCTTCCCTGTTACTCCAGGAAGAAGTCTTTTAATTTTCAGAGTCTTGAGAAAAATCACAGGTGACCTGATAATAATGTCAGGAACTTGAGTAGAAGCTACATATAATATACAGTGAAATAGTTAATTTTTATGCCAGTTCTAGTCTTAATAAAATACAAATTGTCAAGACCTAGAATTGTGCTCATGCTACTGCTGTTATGGCCATGGTTCTTTGTGACGTTTAAGACTCCCACACTTGTCCAGAGGGACTTGGCCTTATTAGAATCCATGAATCAAGTAAACATTTAAAATAAGGAGTGAGTGTATAGTTTCTGCGTCATGATAACTTAAAGTGATGGCAATGGAAATTGTTTGCCGTATTTATGTTTGGGCTGGCCTGATATGCATGTATATTATATACTTATTTTATGTTCATCATTTGTCATTAGCTGTTGATGCCAAAGAAGGAGTTTGAATTATTCAAGGTATGGTCTGCTCCATTTCTTATGGACTTGTGAAGTGAATTTTCTAACTTAATTTTTATATCTTTTTCTTTCCTAAGTTCTTACTTTTCTGAGTTTGAGATGTGCTTACCTAACATAATACAGGCTTCCGTCTGGTTTATGAGTTCCAGTTCTTCATTTTCTTTTCTATAGAGATTTTAGCCTTATCCTTAAACAGTGATAGAATGTATGCTTGAAACATATGCCTAAAACACCAATAGAGTATGTACCCTTTCAGCTGTGTGGACTGTTTTTAGTATTTAACTCATGATATGCTATAAGAAGCACTGTTTGCAAAGGATATTTCTAATTCCCATATGTGAGCAGAAGCCGAGAGTTTATATTTTAGGTGTTAAAAATAATTATCCAAGTTCGTTTTCATTTCTGTGCATGACTGCTAGGAATAAGCAGATGTCAATAAAATAAGATACTTAAACTTGCAAATAATGTAAATTTTAAGTATTTTACCACACCTGAGATTTCCTGAGGAGCTTAATGTCTTTTACCTTTTCCTGTTTACATTTCAGTCTTGTCTTTTTCTTTATTTCTGATTCCTGGCTTGAGCCATAAGTTGACTTTTCTGTTTAAAGGTAATTCTGTCTAAAATTGAACCAAAACTATTAATACATATCATAGAGAACTTTCAGAGAACATAGAATCTGTTTCTCCTTTCTTGAACAGCACCTCATCTTATATTTTTGTCAACTTTGGCACAAGCAAGAAATTTTTTTAAGTACTCACAAGTTTCAGAGTTTGTTCGACTACTTTATATACATAGAAACTTG